TTTTGTGTGTGTTTTGTAGCTATTGGCAGCCGCCACAATGGGATAAGTAGCAGAGATTGGGTTGTAGAATCTCCAGTATGAATAATACAGTCATAAGAAAGACTCTGAAATCTGATGTCAGGTCGATGTATATTTTCTGATTTTTGGAATAAACATTAGTGGAACAGAAAGTAGGAAAATTTACATACATTCCACTTAATTGCTATGTATTTACATATCTAACATCTACACTTCAGTTTTTACACCATGTCATCTTATCTATGCATGAAAAAGGTCGTATTTTGTATGTCATTTGAAAGATTCGAGTGTTATAAACTTAAGAAGTAAAGTTTAGGTGTTAGATTTATAAATACATAAGTATCGGACTGTATTTATGTAAATGCCCTGAAGAAGTAATTGTGTGTAAAACAGTTGGACACTATATACAGTCATATTGAAATATGTCTGATGAAATGAAGCCTTGTTCATGAACATGCTTATAATTGTTGAAGGAATATATGATATAAGTGTTGGCAAAAGCATAAATTGACTATTAACTGTATGGGACTCATGGAAAGCTTTATGCATGAGAGAGAGAGAGAGAGAGAGAGAGAGAGATAGAGAAACTCAAAAATGAAAAAAAGGAATGAAAAATAAAATAAAGAGTTAAAAATCAATAAAAAAAAAGTTGTGTGTTTTTAGGAGGTGTCTCCACTTCGACTTTTTTTTTAAAGATAGAAATACTATTTCAGGTTTTTATCCTTTATCTCGCTTGCTATCATAAGTATCATATCTTTGAGCAAAACTCCCCCTTTCCTCTATCTATAAATGCCATGGAGAGGGTTTTCGCACTCCAAAGTTTCAATATTGTGAACTATTTCAGTGATGATGCATTGCAAGAAAAAGTTTTTGTGGTACATGTCTTTTTGAGCAGTTTGATTTTGGTAAGTACTTTTATTTGAGAATTTAACCTTGGTCCTATTAACTGAACTGCCTATATTTTTAAAAAAAAGTAATAAAAAAAATAAAATGCATCGTGCGAACTGGTTGGCACTTTGGTTGGTAGCGGTGTCGTAAGTCCCCTGGTGCTCCGAGTTTGAGGCTCGCCTCGAATAACATGTTGTGGTATATATATGAAATTTAAAACGATCGACGATGAAGTGAAAAATAGAACGAGAAAAATTACATCAGAGAAGAACACACAGATTTATGTGGTTCGGCAAATTGCCTACATCCACGGAGTTGCAGAGGATTCTATTAATTGAGAAGATTGATTGCACCAGTCGATCTCTTCGACAATTACAATAGAAACTTCTCTCTCTCTCGATTCTTCACTCTTCTCTCTCTACACCGAGATATACCGAAGATGAAGAAGAAATACGTCAAGAGAAATAATCTATTTCTCGTCTGTCAAGAGCCACCAAGAAGAAATCAAGAAGAACAACCTTCTTCTTCTACTGTCTTCTTCTTCCTTCTGCCAAGCACGCAAAAACAAATCTTGCGAAAAACACTTGCCGAAGAGGAACCCTCTCAATCGAACCACAGATGGAGACGTAGACGGAGGGGGCTTTCTGTTTCCGCGAGAGAGGGGCGGGAGGAGCAGTGGTTTTTCAGTTTTTGCACGAGAGACGAAAGGCAGGGTTCAAATCGCGAATTTGGGGATCGGGAGCGGAATTCGTTCGCGTAATGGAAGGGGAGGCGGGAGCAGTTAACACCATTTCTCAATTTATTTTATTTTTATTTATTTAACCGGGCTCCACTCAACATGGCACATTATCAGCCTGGGGTGGACTGTAAAATATGGCCGTCCATCATAAAAAAAAAATAATGAGGTGCATAGGGTTTAGCAGAGGTTAACAAGACCCAATCAGCACACCTTTATTTTTTCAAACATTTGCAGTATATTATGAAGTTCTTATGTAATCTTAAGGAGTATTAAAAATTTCTGCTTTTATCACATGTTATTTGTACCAATCATGCACACATTTGGAAGCATAGTGAAATGCTTATTTGCAGCCATGGTGCGCTTTGCGCTACTTCAAGTATACTTTGGGTGGTGTGGTGGATATGGCTTAGTTTATTTTTTTACTAACTATAATCTTTATTTTTTTGAAGCAAATTCTAAACGTAGATGTGATATGCCACTTTCTAGTTCGCAAAGCTAGCATCATCAAACAGTTCAACTGGAAAGACTTGACAATTGAGATCGCTTTTTGTTGACTTTTGCTTTACATTAACAAGAGTCAATCTTGACCGCTTAGTAATCCAGCTTTTGGGGGCTTGTATCCGAAGCTGATCCCTGGCATCTAACCACCAAACATCAATGTAGATCTATCAAGTTGACAATTCACCTAAAATTCTCATTCCTCCTGAACTTCTGAGGTGTCCCCATTGTGGATAAGCATTGAAATTTGAAGATTTCTGGCTCCTTGGTCTCCTCCATAGGTTTATACTCTATCAACAATGCCAACTATCTGATGGGGCAACTACTTTGCCTCTCTTTTCTGATTATTGAAAGGAACTCGCCGCTCTGCTCCCGAGGACGTAGGCATCTTTGCCGAACCTCGTTAAATCTCTGTGTTCTTCTGGATTTGCGTCGATTATTATTTTTCTTCGCTCTAATTTTCTCAACAGATACCCACTCGATGTATCAAATAAAATGTGGAGATCACGTCTTCCCATTCGATGTATCAAATAAAATGTGGAGATCACGTCTTCATTAACACATGCTTCCTTATTCTTTCTTCAAAGATGCCACATGTGTATTGGCATAATGATCCCTCACGTCCCTAGTGTCTTCTTGGCAATACAGACACTCCTTTCAAGAATTCAATAACATTTAATCGCCATTATCCACCACTTGTCCTAAGATCTCCAAGTGTATGTGTTATGTGTTACATGCTTATATTACATTAGGCTATTGGAAAATGAGCTTGCATGACTAGGAGCGTATGGCTCCACAACGCATGCCATTTAAAATCATTTTTGGCCACATCAACACCGCTTAAGCCCCACCATTGAATTATCAGTATTTTATGATTTTCAAGTGATTTCAAATTTTAAAATGGACCTGGAGTGATAAGTTAAAATAATGCAAATTATTAAATTGAGCGAACCAATTAAAACTTTTGTATGCCAGTAAATTGATTTGTGACCTTTACCAATTAACACTCAAATTGTTCATGAGCCAGGACATGAAATATATAAAATGCAGAGAAGTGAATTGATGATTCACTTGGATAAGATAGTAGCTAAATTTAAAGGATTTGGGAAAATTAAAACCGATTTAAGGTAACTTGAGCAGATCAATGGCGTTTGATAAAGATGTGATGAATGGCTAACATGTCGAATAATTTAGATTATCTTGTCTCTTCAACATGCATGCGGTCTAGACTTGGGTGGAAGAAGAACACGAACATTGTATTCCATGTTTTGCTTGACTTAGCCTTCTTGTAGCCTTCTTCTTCCTATGACCTGCTCTACTTCTCAAAATTCTAATTGTAATTGTCATGAACTACTTGATGTAAAGGATGACTGCGAATGAGTTTGGAGTTTGTGAGTATTTTGGAGAGAATTAACATGATCCATATGCAAATCACGCTAAACATGTGCACCATGATCTGTGGGTTGGTGACATTTTTTCCTAACAACTTCCTGAGACTGTGAGGATCGGAACTTTATGCCCCTACTCTCGATGAGCAACATGAATGCATTTTTTTCCCAACTAAAAGTCGAGACTTTTCTGTCTAGGAGATTGTAAGAAGAAATATTTCTCTGTGGCAACAAACAAGTAGAGTTACTAGATGAAGCAAGGGTTTAAGCCAAACTGTTGAGGAGGCTTTTTCATCCAATTTTTTTGGCAAATTTGTTGAGTTCCTAGTGTAACTTGAAATACATGTATGACCTTCGTTGGATCCAACTATGATAGAGTTGTTGTATTTATGGCTTTTATTGTATGAGGGGTAATTTTGACTTTTGGTTTTATTTACTTGTATACCCTAGTCATTCTCTATGAAGGGACTTAGGGCTTATGATAGGTGTATGGTGAAAAGTGTGAGTTGTAACCCTTAGCTTTTTTCTTTCTCCCATCCGGTGCTAGTCAAATCTCCCTCGTCGTGGACATAGGCGAAATAACTTAATGTCTAACCACGTAAAATTTTTGTGTTTGATTGTTATTGTGTGAATTAATAATTACCCAGTCGGGCATTTTGAAGAATTACACGAGGCTGGATCTCTTCGACAGGGGGGTTGTATAGGCAACTATCTTGGTGCAGGTGAATTAGAGTTTGGAGCTCATCGGTCATCTCTCACTTATCTGGAAGTAAGAGATGAGATGAAGATTGTTGTATTTATGATTTTGATTGTATTAGGGGTAATTTTTTCTTTTGGATTTGTTTACTTGTATACCCTAGTCCTTCTTTATAAAAGAGACTCGGGACTTATGAGAGGTGTATGGTGAGAAGTGTGAGTTATAACTCCTAGCATTTTTTCTTTTTCCCATCCAGTGCTAGTGAAATCTCCCTCCTCGTGGACGTAAGTAAATCAACTTAATGCCAAACGACATAAATTTTTTTGTTTTTGATTGTTGTTGTGTGAATTTATTTGTTTCCGCATTGTTTCGCATAACAAGAGTTTCATTTGGCATGTGCTGCCATAAGTTTTGCCAAAGCAGGCCTGAAGAGGGAGGCATAGCCCAACAAGAAAGCTTTGTTAAAAAATATGGTAAAGGTGATAATAGTTGAGTTTTAAAAGGAAAGGGATACACAGAAGAGATGATTCAGCCGGATTTGTAGATAATGTCGAGGAAGGTGTCTTGAGAAAATGAGAAGAGTGCCCTTTGAGAGAGAGGCTGACTTTAGAGGTGCATATTTGGAGGAATGGGCCTAAGGAAGAAATTGCCATGCCGTTCTTCTGAGATACCCATATAAGGACAATGACAAAGCAAGGATCTACACCCTTATGCCATGTTGTTTATGAGCATCAATTTGAGTAGGTTTGAGATTAATATTGCAAACATAATTTGATTAATGCTTTGGTGTTTATGAGCATTAAGTTGAGTAGGTTTGGGATTAATTTTACAAATATAATCTGACTAAAGCTAGGCTCGCAAAAGATGAATTGATTAATTGACTCGTAAGTAGTGAAGCATATGCAAAGCCATTCCTTGTGGGTAAGTAGTGAAGCATATGCAAAGCCATTCCTTGTGGGCAGTGAATATGCCCTTCTCGGGCACTCGACCAAGCATAAGCAAGGAGCAGCACAAATATGCCAAAAATAAGCTAAGGTTCAAGGAAATAAGGCAAGAGAGTTGGCCAAACAAATGCATGAATTTGATGAATCAGCAAGCAGCAGCACAATTGCATGAAATTTACATGTCAGCCCAGATTTTGCATTCATCTTATAATTCAAACAAGTCATATTTCAACACATAGCTAGATATGGTAATAGATCATCACATTGTCGGACTCACATAGCTCTTCAAAGGGAATTTGTTTTGAATTTAAACGTGCAACATCCTTTTTTTCTCTTATTTTAGAAGATATGACTCCTTTTGTAAATTCCTGAGGAGGACTTTTGTGCTCCTTTTATTTTTTTGATATAGTAATGCAATTGTAACATGTCAAGGATGCAAAAGTGCTCTTCAATTGAGATGTCCATAAAGAAAGCTACAAAGCTGAAGGATGACCTGCTGGAAGAGCTATTTGAACCGAATGCACAATTGGGATATGAGAGGATAACTAAGTAACTAGCTGATAATCGAATGATGAACATGCGTAATGAAGAGTTGTGGGCTATAGTTAAATATCTTGAATGATATATCTAAATAGTCATAGATGTTATTAGTAGAGATGGTTGAATTATTGATGATTGAGGAGATGTAAGAGTACAACAACAACAACAACAAAGCCTTAATCCCACTGCGTGGGGTCAGCTGCATGACTTTTTTTTCTCCATTGTGTCTTATTTAGTGTCATATTTTCATTTAGTTCTAGTAAATTAAGATCATTTTTTATACAATAAGCCCTAGTCATCCTAGTTCTACCTCTGCCTTTCTTAACATAAGTCAAATCTAAAACATCTACTTTCCTGATTGGATCATCAGATGGTCGATGCTTAAAAGTAAAGTGATTAAATCATCCACCCGGCAAAAGACAATTTCAACCTTCTTCAGGGTTCCCTGATGCGTAAACATCTACTAGACCTCATGATTCTAGATTTGTTGAAATATTTTGTGTGCTTATAAGAGAACAAATTTAGAGCTATTTAAGGCATCTGATAGAGCCACACATATCATACCTTTTTTTAAAGTTTTATGTGCTTGTGAATGGATTTTAAACATGCTTGAAGAGATTGACAAAATCTTATAATTGTCGTAGTCTATTTTAGTTTTGGTTCAGAAATCCTCCAAAGGACAGCTAAAGTGAGAGAGCTTTGTGTATGGTTTTAATTACATGGAATCTTTTCATAATGGATTTATTTAAAGTGAGTCCTAGCATTTTGCCTCTACTCATAATTGTGATTCATTTCGAGTAAAAGTGAACTAAAAAAACGGGGCATTTACATATATAACACACAATTCTTATGTATTTACATATCTAACATCTAAACTCTTTTATTTACATGCATAACAGTCTAAACTTATTATCACAGCCAAAAAACCACTACTATTAATTTTAAAAGTGAAGTAGACATTTCCGCGCATAGGTTCATGACACCAAAATATTATGAATGTAACTATCAAACTTTAGATGTTAGAGATGTAAATATAAAGGAATTGTGTCGTAACAATGTAAATTTCCCTAAAAAAAATTGGAGAAGATGATGCTTATATCTCTTGTTGGCAATAGCCACAGTTGATCAATTTGTGGTATTTCTCACATCCTCACGTTGGTTTTTTTTTTTTTTTTTTTTTTTTTTTTTTTGGCTTGCTAATCAAAATGTGATAATTCTTTAACAGGTATCTGAATGATGCTGATTACTACGGTGGTTTTGAGCAGGAAGACCTGGACCAACTATTTGAAGCTATTAGAGCAAATTACAAAGCTTGGGTCTCCGGCTTCGCTCCTCTGGCCGTCGGCAGCGACATGGACTCCGTCGCCGTTCAAGAGTTCAGCCGCACCCTCTTTAATGTCCGCCCCGACATCGCCGCCAGCGTTGCGCAGACCATATTCCAGAGCGACATGCGAAGCATTCTTGGCCTAGTGACTGTCCCCTGCCACATTCTTCAGAGCACCAAAGATCTCGCCGTTCCGGTCTTCGTGTCGGAGTACCTCCACAGGAACCTTGGAGGTGAGTCCATTGTTGAGGTTATGCCTTCAGAAGGCCATCTACCACAGCTCAGTTCTCCTGAAATTGTCATTCCTGTTCTTCTCAGGCACATTAGGTTTGATATTGAATCTTAATTTTTTTGAATTTTGGAAGATTTACATAAATAATACACCATTCCTATGCATATACATTTTAACAGCTAAACTTCAATTTTTACATGCCACAGTACCTTTTTTCACTTTTGAAAAAGTTTAGATGAAGATATTTTGTACGTGATTTGAAGGATTGGTTTGGAATAACTGTAGAAAGTAAAGTTTAGGTGTTAGATATGTAAATATATAGGAATTGGTTGGTATGTATGTAAATGCCCTAGAATTTTTAGTCATTTAAGTTTGATAATTCGCTTGAAGTTTGTTTATTTTTGTAGTGTAAACAATATTTGTATCTTATCTTTCAATTCTCACCTTTAGGTTTCTTCTCTAAATAGCTTCTGTTTTTTGTGGAGAAATTGATGTTTATAAATCAATCCACACACACCCACGCACGCATGCACGCACGCGCACACAGGCTGCATACTCAGATCAGTTGGTCGGCTATCTGTTTGTCAGTTGTAAGTCTCCTCTGGTTTGAGATTTGATTCCGCCCGAGTGTAGGGTGTGGTACTCGAATTCTTACGCGCATGAGGAATGAGCATAAGCTCGTATAATAGCCTCCGACCATGCTTATATATATATATATATACACATAGTGGCATCCTCAAGAGAAAAGGTTACCGTTTTGTGGATTCTCACCTTTAGGTTTCTTCTCTAAATAACTTCTTTTTTTGTGTGGAGAAATTGATGTTTATAAATCAATCTACACACACACACAGGCCACATATTCAGATCACTTGTTCAGCCATCTGCTTGTCAGTTGTAAGTCTCCTATGATTTGAGATTTGATTCCTCCCGAGTGTAGGGTGTGGTACTCGAATTTTTAGGTGCATGAGAAATGAGCATAGCTCGTATAATAGCCTCCGACCATGCTTTTATATATATATACACAGTGGCATCCTCAAGAGAAAAGGTTACCGTTTTGTGTGATTTGCAATACTTGAATTGTATTTTGTAAATTTTACCTGTAATGTTTTTTTATTATTATTAGTTCACTGAGAGAATAAGTATATATATATTTTTTGAAGATTTAAATACATAACACTCGATTCTTAACTAAAGTTTAATTTTTGCATACATGCCGGCTTATGCATGAAAAGTTGTATTTTACTTTTTAAAAATTAAAATGGTTATATATATATATTAATGTGATTTGAATGATTTGAGATAAATGAAGTAAAATGTAGGTGTTAGATATGTAAATACATAGGAATTGGGTGGCAGGTATGTAAATGCCCCAATTGATCCCACTAAGTGGGATGGCTATATGAAATTTTTTTCTTCATTTCCTATTAAGTGTCATATTTTTATTTAATTATAATAGATTAAGATCACTTTTTATACAAAACGTCCAAATCTTTTTTTTGATTCATATTTGCCTTTCTTAAAATCAGTCGAAGCTAAAACATATACTCTCTTAACTGGATCATCAGATGATCGATGTTTAATGTGATCAAATCATTTAAGAAAACTCTCTTTTAAGCTTGCCCGCGAGGTCCTCCACCAAAGCCACAACAATTTTATCATGGATATATTCATTTGGCATTTTGTCTTTTAAGTGTTGTGCCACTCATCCACCTAAGCATTCTCATCTCAACAACATTTAATTTTGTTTTATGCTTCCCTTGTAAAGGCCTACATTATACATAATAAAGCATTGCAGGTCTGACGACCATCTTATAAAATTTTCCTCTCAGTCATTAGGAGATAGTAATTATGCAAAATAAATAAAATTTATAATGTTTTAATTTAATTGATATAATGACAAACTTTATTATTCTTTAAGACAATAAATATTATAATAAATTATTTAAATGAATTTATTATTAAAGATTTTATTCGTCTCTTTCAAAATTAAAAATATTTTACTTAGTTTTTCTTATCTTGCAATTCTCCTATTCTATACTAGTTATTTTAGAGAAGCTAATAACACGTGTTTTTGATCATATTTGGTTTGGAATTATTTTGGAGCTCAGCTTTATGATCTCTCCCTCTGCTGAAACTTTTCTACGCCAAAGAAGTTTGCTCGAGATTCTGCACATCCTTCAATTGTAACATTTGTAACATTTGGAAGGTTCGCTCGGCCTACAATCTCTGATCTGGACTGTCTCTTGCTTCGTTGCACATATGTCCACACCGAATTCTTAATACAAAGATGTTTTTAATGAAATATATAATGAATTGCTTGTGTTTTTTTCTTCATTTTTATTCAAATATTACGAACCTTTATTTCTAAAGCATGCAATTTGTTACATTATAATTTCAATCTTGTATAATCTTCCATTTCATTTAATCAAAATTTGATATTGACTTATTCTGTACTACTTTTGATAAATAGTGAAGAAATAAATTAACCTTGCCCCTTGACTTTGTGTTTCTAATTCCCAGCGAAAGTTCTACAAATATTTCAATGTTTTAGCAATTGCACATGTTTTAAATCTAGTATTGCATATTTACATTTAAATAAAGAAATTTATTAAGTTAATTGATCATATCTGATCAATGGAAACATCAATTTTTCTACATGAAATCACACAATGCATCAAATCAGTTGCATTTAGAAGTCATACAAAACATCATATTAGTTGCAATAACATTATATTAGGCTACCTTGGGCAAGTCAGAAGAACAAGGTTGCATAAACATCCCTTCATTGGAATGGCCAATTCAGAATGTACATAAATCCTACAAGTTCTAAATGAAAAATTGGGTCTCCTTCCTGGATAACATCACATTATTGGATATTTACACATTGAACCACTCATTCTTACTATTTACAAAACCAGGACTCAATTCATTCAAACATAAATAGAGTATAATCTTTGTTGCTCCCCAATCGACAACCTAAACCCATCAAACAATGATGACGGGCGAAACAGATCCAGGAGCATTCTCAAGAAGAAAAAGGGACATTTACATGCATGCCACGCAATTCCTATGTATTTACATATTTAACACCTAAGCTTTTCTTTTTACATTTACACCCCCCAAATCATCACATCACATCAAAAATACCAGTATTTTAAATTTTTAAAAGTGAAATAAACCTTTTCATGCATAAGTAAGGTGGCATGTATGTAAAAATTGAAGTGCATGTATGTAAAAATTGAAGTTTGTAAAAATTGAAGTTTAGTTGTTAGATGTGCAAGGAATTGAGTGGCACTTATGTAAATCTTCCAGAAAAATAGGATTAAACTGGTTACCCCTAAAACATTCTATAAGAAATTTCTTTATCTCCCTATTTCTACATTGAGAAATGAGACAGAATGAGATGTTAAATATGTAGAAATAAGTGGAGATAAGACATTAGTTTCTGGTACGTTAGAAATAGCCCCAGGCACTCAAATGGAGACCCAAATCAGAACTTACAAGAGACTTAGAAAAAAAAACAAGAGATTTACATCGTTTTAAAATTTTAATTAAACTCCATAAGACATCTAAAAAGTTTTCTTGAATTGACCATATCGCATACAGAGATCAGCACTGTGCTCTTACTAGAATTTTCATTTGGTGTCGATTCAGCAAAGTTTTTAACAAATTCATCAAAATTGTAGCATCAAAACACAGCATGAAACTACTTATTAAGTAATAAGATCTTAGTTGATAGAAAAGGAAAACAAGACAAACTAAAAAATTTGCTACAGAAAACCTGGCACTTTTGCTGTAATGTCATTTTTCGACCATCTTCGAGGAGGAAGCTTGTGCACTTGATTTATCATTGTCACCCTTTTCATCAAATTGGATGCCATTAAATATGACCTTAGAGCTCCTATATTGGCTACCAAAGCCACTTCCAAATCCCCACCCAAGGCCAAATCCTACTCCACAACCTCCACCTTCAGATCAAAAATGAAAGGAAGTCCAATCATTAGTGAGAACCTGCGTAAGAGATAGGGGAATTTAAACACATACCACACAATTCTTATGTTTTTACATATCTAAAAACCTGCGTAAGAGATAAGGGAATTTAAGCACATACCACACAATTCTTATGTTTTTACATATTTAACACCTAAACCATCATATTTACAGGCATGCCACTCCAAACTTTAACATCACATCAAAAATGCTACCATCACTACTTTTCAAATATGAAAAACACATTTTCATGCATATGTTTAGGTCACCAAAGTGTTGTAAGTGTAAATATCAAATTTTGGGTGTTAGACATATAAATACATAAGAATTGTGTGGTACGTAGATATAATAAAGAAGTGAGGAGGAGCGAAGGCCTACCTACGCCCATACCTAATATGGGGAGCGGCATTCCTACAGAAAGCACAGTAGAAATGAGCACAGAAAATGATAAATAAGCAGATTCACAGCATTCTCCCTATCTATATAAGAAATGAGAATGAAGAGATAGCAAGATAAAAAAGCAGTTCTAAACTTTTCTTTTAGCTTTTTTAATCTTAACAGGGAGGTTGAGAGCCCTTAAAAACAATTCATTTGAAAAATGCTGTCTGCCTGATTATACAACAATATAATGTCACTAAGACTCTTTCAAACAAACTTTAATTGTCTTGTAAAAGAGCCAACTTAAATATCATGGTAATTATCCAAAAAAATTAACAAAGTGGGAGTAAGTGATTAGAAATGATAAAAGTCACACTTTATCAAAGCAAAAATAATAGAGAAATATGCTAGAGTCACTGGCCTCCAAAACCCCATCCAACTCCAAAACCGCAACCAATTCCAAAACCTGATATAGAGAAATGCACAACAAATAAGTTCACCCCATTCGAAAAGTGCTGCACTCATGCATGATTTGACTAAGAAACGTACCCAAACCAATACCAGGGCCGGTGAAATTTGTAAGCACCATGTCTTGGAATAGAGAAAACTGAAATTTTTGGTGAAACAATGAGCCATGTCAATTTTGGATGAACAAAAATATAATATTGGTATTAATGGGGACAAATATAAAGATGAAATTTAGATCTGGGACAAACATTGTTTAATGTCCTCTGGAAAGGATATTAAAGCTTTGATTAACACAAAACATAAAAAAGACTTGTGCTTCACGAGTTGAAAATCCAAACATGTAATGGGATTAGCTAATAAAATTTATTTAAATAAAAATTTAGAGGATAGTAATCATAATTAACAGTGATGATCAGAATGATTTTCAAAAGTATGGTTAAGAAACTTATAAAAAAAACCATCATGTGGTTTTGGTTTAGGATGTTAATGATAGACAATCCTCTATACAGAGCTTCTACTCTCTAGACAACTTCAACTCAAAGCCACTCATTCTACAGTCCATTATGAGGTTCCCTAAAGTCTTGGTAGTTTGGCGCAAAGATATCTCGGGACAATAAGTTGGCTCGAATTCTAAAAGGTATGTAATTCAAGACAATAAGTTCCGCCTAAGAGTAACTCGACTCGAGTTCTAAAAGGTGTGTAATTCCATCATTAGAAGGTTTCTATGTAGATCAAACACATAGAATGTACAATATATGTTTAAATCTGACGGAAAAGAGAGCACACAAGCATGGTCTTTTATTTGTTTTGGAATGGGAAAGCGGCCAAATTTCTGTAGCTGCGACTTGGAATATGTGCCCCGTGGAAACATTTCTTTGTGGAGTCGCACCATCACTAGATCCCTAACTTCAAATGTCTTCAACCTACGGTTCTTATCAGCTTGATTCTTATAATATTGTAAGGAAATAGTATACTTTTTCCATTACCTCACAAAATATTGAATTGATGCATTTACCAATTTAGTGGCACTCAGACTTTTAGGCTTAGGTAGGATGGTGATATCAACTATAAGGTTAGGACCCTGGTGTAAACAATGCTGAATGGAGAATGGCTGATGGATCCATTTACCGCAGAATTGAATATGAATTCTGCCTGCCCGAGTAATCCCTCCAATTGCTTGGATCTTTCTTTAGCCACACAACGAATCATCATACCCAAAAGGCAGTTCGCAGCCTTTATTTGTCCGTCTATTTGATAATGATATGTTGCACTTAGACAAATATTTGATCTAAAATGTTTCCATAATCCTCTCCAAAAAAACCTAATAAATTTAACATCATGATCGGATGTCAAACTCCTTAAAATTCCATGCAACCGAAATGTCTTTGAAGATGAGCTTAGCTGTGTTTAATGCATCAAATATCGTTCTGCAAGCAATGAAATGAAACATTTTTGAGAAATCAACGACAATCATGACCGAGTAGGCACCATGTTAGGTATGGCTCATACTATAAATGAGACAGATGCTGGAGCGGAGTGGAGCCCACGAGCGGAGTGAAGCAGAATGATCTATCCAATCGGGGGAGTTTCATTATGTGGGTTGGGGGTGTGGGGGCAACACCCGGCAGTTTGTACATGGTAATTTAAATAATCACATATTGTACTAGAAGTTATATATATATGCCCTATTTGTAACCCTAGATGAGGAAGATTCTGAATATTGTATTCTGTACTCTTTTCTGTAATCTTTTCTGAATATTGAAAAGGAAGACACCGTTCTGCTCCCGATGATGTAGACATCTTTGCCGAACCTCGTAAATCTCTGTGTGTTCTTCTGGATTTGTGTCGATTCTTGTTTTTCTTTGCCCTAATTTATCAACAAGTGGATCAACAAGTGGTATCACAACCTAGTTCGAGGGCAGAGAAGAAAAATTTTGACTGCGTAGAAATAAAAAAGATTTTGGCAAAAGAGATTTGGCGGCTAGGGCAGAGGAGTTCGGTGAATTTCGGGGCTTCAACGATTCGGCGAAGAACTTTGGTGATTCGCAGCAGATTGTTGGAGCAGACAGCGAGGAGTTCGCAAAGGGCGCGAATCGCGCGGGAGGACCAGTTTGTGAAGGCGAAGTCGAAGGCGTTCGCGGGAAGTTGACGGTCGGAGACACGAAGAATTGGTCGCGGGAGGTTGCCGCCAACACAAGAGTTTGCAAAGGCAAAGCTGAAGGCGGTTCGCCGGAGGAGAATCAAGGAACCATTCATCTCCACCAAAGGGAATATTCCCTCTAAAACGCGGGAGAAGCTCGCTGCACGCGAAAATTCGCAAGAGGAGTTTCGCTCAGGAGTTTAGTGCCGACGTAAACATTCGCGTGGGAGGCATTCACGGGATTTAGTTTTTGAAGCTGCGCGGAGGAGCAGTTTGCATGGCGGCGTGAATCATTGAATCGCGCTGGAGCCGAAAAAGGAAATCTAACATTTTCTACAAAGTGGAGGCGGAGCTTTTCTGAGAATGAAAACAGAGCTTTTTTGGAAGGAAAAAAAGGAGCTTTTCTGGAAAGCGGATGCTGAGCTTTTCGGGAAGAAAATGAGAGCTTTTCTTAGAAGTTTAAGAAAAAAGACTGTCTGGGAAACTTAAGGGAAATACTTAATTAAGAGAAACTTAATTAAAAGAATAATTCAATCCTTTTTTAGAAAGATTCTGTTACTTTTCTGGAGAACTTAATTGAGAGAAATATTTAATTAAGAAAACATAATTAAGGGAATATTTCAATGCTTTCTCGGAAAGATTCTGCTGTTTTTCTGAAAAACTTAATTAAGAGAAACTTAATTAAGAAAATTTAATTAAGGGAATATTTCAATCAATTTTTTAAAAGAATCTGTTGCTTTTCTGGGAAACATAATTAAGGAAAATATTTAATTAGGGGAAACTTAATTAAGAGATTATTTTAAAAAATGTGGCAGGATCAAAGAGAGTACAATTTCTGGCTCAAGTAATTTGAAAAAGCAACAGAGGAATTTGCAGAGGAGTTTGTTGCAGGATAAATTTCAGATGGTAATTTATGGTATAAAATTCGAAGTGGTGACGTTCGATGGAACTGTTAACTTCGGATTGTGACAAACAAGAGTGAAAGATTTGCTGGCTCAACAGGGAAACTTGAAAATTTTGCGGACAGCAAAACCAGATGCCATGGAGGATGAATATTTGAAGGAGAATTTAATTTTCTTGGGCACTTTACATAGAAATGGTTTTATTCCTAAAACATATGAGGATAGAGAAACCATTAGAATTGTTAAAGGTGCACTGATTGTGATGAAAGAAAAATTAACTGCAAATAATATCTATAAACTGTTGGGGAGTACAGTTATAGATGTAGTTCACTCTGTTGGATCATACGATAAAAATGCAACAGATATGTTGACAAAGTCAGGTACTATCAACAAGTTCTTGCATTGTTTGAACTTGTTAAATGTTTGCAATTATTAGACGGCGTGATGGCTCAACCCGCATTTGTGCATAAGAAACTCCATGATATATTTCTCCTAAGGGGTTGTATATTCGTCAAAGTGGAGATTTGTTAGGTATGGCTCATATATCATAAATGGGGCAGATGCTGGAGCGGGCGAAGCCCACGAGCGGAAGTATCTATCCAATCGGGGGAGTTTCATTATGTGAATTGGGGGTGCAGGGACAACACCTCGCGGTTTGGTACAGAGGTAATTTAAGTAATTACATATTGTACTATAGAGTTATATATATATATCATGTTTGTAAACCTATGGGAGGAAGATTCTGAATCTTGTATTTTGTATTCTTTTCTGAATATTGAAAGGAAATCGCTGCTCTTCTCTCGATGATGTAGTCATCTTTGTCAAACCTCGTAAATCTCTCCGTGTTCTTCTGAAATTATATCGATTCTTATGTTTCTTCGCCCTAATTTGTCAACAATATATATATATATA